TACATAGGTAATTAGACAACACAGAGATTATTCTTCATTTTAATTTCACTTAAAGATGCTTGTAACAATTTTAAAGGTGTGATTACTGGGGATGTGAATCTATAAGTGTGTGTGTGTGTGTGTGTGTGTGTGTGTGTGTGTATACGTGCCAGTGGTGGGTTCTGGATCCCGTTGCAACTGGTACGGTTACAACGGGGCCCGGGGTCCTCCACATGAACGTGCGCGGCACGCACATGCATCTTACCATCCAGCATGCCTCTGCAAGCCTCCATGATGCTCCAGCTGCTCGGCAAAGCATCACGCAGGCGCTGTATGTGCCATGCGCAAGCGCTGTATGCACCATGTGCATGCATGGAAGCGCCAAAGGATTTAAAGACAGGTAAGGAGCGCGGGCAGGCGGGTGGGCCCTCTGGAGCACCGTACCAGAATGTACCCGGTGCTCCGGGCAGGTTCCGGTATGCCCGTACTGGAGCGTACCCCCTGCAACCCACCACTGGTGCGTGCAGACATGCTAAGTTGTTAACAGTAAATGTGAAACAGACTGTAAAATGCAACAATAAGGAAACTCTACCTTAAGTTACCTTCAGGTAATATGTGCGGCCTAAAAATTAAATAAATAAATAAACAGAAAGTATTGATGATCAAGGTGACTATTTTGACAATGAAAATCAAGTAAATAATTGGAAGTAATACATACAGTAAATGTAAAGAGCACAGCAATTCAGATTAGTAAACAAAGGATGCTTTGTGAGGGTCATGCTTTAGAGAGGACATACTTCCTGTAATTGTTGATATCTCCTTAAAGAAACCATGCCTTTTTCTAGTTTCACAGGATAGTTGGGTGCTCCCAGAAAAATACAGGTTTGAATTAAGGAATTAGCAACAGTGTACAATGACTCTCTTTCATGTGAGCCAGGAAAGGGTCTAATTTCTTTAAATATGTACTAAGAGGTGAAACAGGGGTGTCTCCTCTACAGAGCATTTTCCCCTTTGGATCTGATTTGCAATATATTCCTACATAAATAGCAAAAAACAAAAACCTAGAACAAGGAGATAATTACTGCAAAGTTAGTAAAGATGGGAAAATATATGAAGAAATTTTAAAAAGTTGAAATGCTGGAACAAAAGTGGTGGTTGGTATGTTTCTGCAAGAATATTCAATGCTTGTGGGGGAGAAAGTGAAAATAGCTATACTTTAACTGTGTTTCAGCCCACTTTGTTGTATGCCGTGAAAAACAAAA